CAATCTACAGCCATCGCGCTTTCATCTTGCTACAAGCACCCACATTCTCCGATCCATCTTTGAAGGAATTGATCTTCGTGAAGACAACTTGGAGACAACTAATTAGCATGTCAGATTGTGAATCTGGTCTGCTAATTAGTTGTCTCCGAAGTCATGATTTCTTGCAATTTTCTCTTCCATCTTTGAAGGAATTGATCTTCGTGGAGACAACTAATTAGCATGCTTGATTGCAAATCTGACTTGCAAATTAGTTCTCTCATAAGTCGCGATTTCTTGCAATTTCCTCTTCTTCTTCGGCTATTTCTCGATCTCGTCCTTTGACTTGTCGGCTTCGGCCGAAGGCAATGCAAGCGCAATGTTGTCCTCCTCGTTGGCAACTTCATTGCCTTCCAGCGCCCCTTTGTTGTCCTAAATCTCCATCTCGAGCAAAAATTTCTTCTACTCGGCTAAAGTCAGCAACCCCATCCCTCGGTAGAAGTTGATAAAAAAAAAGGATATATAATTCACTGATCCCTTAAATACCTCTTCGATGTGCTGACGTGTAGTATTCCATAGAATGCGTGCCCAATGAATTGACTTTCTTGCCATCGCGCCCTCCACAAATCCGACCTGCCATGTCATCATGTAAGTTGTCTGCGAAGGCTGAAAGATCTTCATCATGGCCACTGCTACATTCATGCAAATCCGATCATGGTACTCTGTCGTCCGATACTTGTTCTTGCGCGAACGAGGTTTCTTGAACAGTTGCGCAAAAGGCTTCATTTCCGTGCGATCACCTTCACACTATTGCTGTAGAAGATGTTATCTCCATCTTCTTATACGCATGGTCATAAGACTTTAGTACCATCGTCAATGATCCAGATTGTCAAGTTGCCACAAAGTACCTCCGCATCCAGCGCGTGTCCTTCTTACCACTCTTGCATCATTGCCGCACAAATCCAATTCCATCCTCACAACAAGAAATCTAGCTTGGAAGCTAACAACTCGTTGTGATACGCTCTCAATCCGAATTTCGGCACCTTCAATGCTGACAATCAAAGTCCTGAAGTTTGCCCCTACGTTCTCAAAATCTCACTCACGAATCTCACAGAGCTTCCAATTCGCGAATGCACTTTTGCGGAATGTCAGCGATGAACTCCCGTCTTGGCCCATGAAATTCGACAACCTAACTATATCATAAATTCGCGTGAATTGATAAGTGTTTGAATTTCCCTTTTGTTCAGCGCCGCCTTTTACTTCGCCGAAGATCCTTCTGTTGTAACCCCGAAGGAGCTAACGCCAAAGTTCAAAGACTCTTTGCCGAAGGCGGTAATGTGCTTTCGTCGAAGCATGACCTTTACTGCATACATTTGTAATTTATGATTTCCTTACTCGTTTCCAGTGTTCTTGGGCTCTTTGGAACGAGCACGCCAAGCTCTACCTATTGAGATCCTATCTATCCACTACTTTTACTTAGCGTCTACTCCAGAATCCATTATTTACCCTTCTTCTCATTATTCCTATTCTAAAAGTTTGAAATTACTAGTCTTTTACTTCTCAAACTTACAATTTTCAAAGAAAGTGAAAAAACTTCGTTACCAAAAAGACTATTTTCTTCTACAAATAATGTGTTCATGTAAACAAAACATACAAAATCACTTCGATGGTTCGTATGAGACAATTGGATATACAAAAGGTATTTCACTCTCAAGCATGCTCTACGCTTTTTCAATCCTCAATGTTAACTCCAAGGGAGTTATCATGGACATAATCTCTCAAGCTATAAACCGAATACAAAACATTTTGCCTTCTAGATTGAGGTCTTTGCAACGTAACAAAAAATGCAACCTCTGTATTGACTTTCACTCAGGTTTATCTAAGAAGGCTTTGCGATACTTAATCATGGTTGTTGAAAGCTAGTAATATTCCTTATACTCATGTTTCAAACAACCTCTCACACATTTTCTCCATTCATGACTCAAGTTCACACAAATACATTGACACTCTAAGATGCAAAAAACTCTACTCTTTTATTCATGAAACAAGTGTCTACATATAAACTCTTTAAACTTGCTTGAAAATCTCTTCCTTATCTCTCTATATATATTGCTTGAAAAATTATCATAGTATGAAATTGTAATTTTTATCTAACTTACTTTTACAAGGATAAAAAAATAAGTTTGATTAGTTTCCAAAATGTTGCACATGTCATTGGTCTCTTAAATCTTCTAGAAGTTTCCTAATCTCTAGGTTTAAATGACGACATGTCATTTGAGACTTTCAAATTTATAAAACTTTCATTTGCCACCAAGTCAAAATTAGACTTAATTTAACCAATGAAGTTTTGATTATTTAGTCAAACCAATCAAAATCACTTATGTAGTCAAAGTACTCCATTCTTGAAATCTAGATTTTGATAGAAAATAACATAGTTGCTCACTCAAAACCTATTAGAACTTCACTAATTATTTTGCCAACTATAGAGATCATAGCTAAACATAATCTTAACTAGACAAACTTAGTTATAACTAGCTAGACTTAGTTATTTCTAAGATAAACATGATCATCTTCTTGGCTACTTCAAATCTTACTTCACACATACAAAAATTGATATTACAAGCTTGTGGGGTTTGCACAAATATTTTTAGTTGTGATACATTTGTGTATGTGTACGCTCTTGTTTGCTATATATGTGTTTGTGAGTATGACATCTCAACGATATTTGTTGTATAACAATAAGTATTTGCACAATATCTTTTTATGTTATTAATTTATTTTTTTATGGTTGTGGCTTTATTCTAATTGAGTTTCCCGTAAAGAGTGTGTTTGTGTTGGATTTTTGTCTAGAATTTTCTATGGAAAAATAATGTGCTTTACAAAAATTACTGTTTTTTTAACATGAAATAAGGAAATATTGTTGATGTTAACTCTGGTTAAGGAATAACTTCAAGTCCTAGCTATTTATAGCTAAAAGATCGCCTGTGATGAAGTATTTAATTCCAAAATTTGTATATTATTGAAGTGTCTTTTTAGTATACTCTCACGTGTGAACTTTCCTATCGTGGACGCCTCCCTCCAAAGGTTGAACCCCAATATATATTGTGTCTTGTGTTTTGGTTTAGGTTTTGTTGGACTATCTTAGGGATGATGGTTCTCGATTTATAATCTTATGTCACATTCATTGTCATCTCAAAAAGTTTCATTTGATATATCACAAAATACAAAATCGATGTGAAAAAATTGTGAATTTTTTTTTCATATAATTACCACCTCATTATCCAAGAAAGAGACTATTTGCCATAGAATTTGATGAGAAAGGAGATTGTATAAAATTGATGACAAAAATTTCAGTCCATTTCAAGATCAGACTTGGCAAATAATTAGACCATAAATCCGTAAATTTGTCCGCAATTGCCAAGCGGACAAATCTCCCACAACTTCTCACATATCAACTTTCAAATCTCATGATGTAATTTGACACTTGTGTACCGCTAGAGAATCGCATTGCTTTGTTACCAACTTTCACGAGTAAATTACAAGAGTAAAAAATCACAAGAAAAAAGCAGAACAATCAAACATTGTGCAATCGCTACTTAGTTGGTCACTCGGCTACCAGTTCTTACAAGTGAATTACAATTATAAAAAATATTAGTTAAAACAAATTAATCAAACAGCATGCGATCATAACTTGGTTTCTTACTCGGCTACGTCCACACGAGAACACTGAAATTAATTCGAGAACACTGAAATTAATTGTCACAAATTGAGCTAGATCTTACTATTCCAGTAGTTACAGACGAAACCTTAATTGTCAGCAGATCCAACCCCAACTCAAATGCAACATGAGTTAAGAATCTAACAAGAATAAAACTAAACAAAAAATATAAAATTTCTATAACATCTGACATATGGTAAAATCATTTGATTATATATCACCTTCTTAATATAGTGAGGATTTACAATGGTTGTTTTTCATGTAGTGTTATCATCTTTACGATATAGATAAAAAATCAGCATTTTGTTAACTCAATAACATTTTGGATTCCAAAATATCGATTCATTCGATAGGAAGAAATCATGCAAGTTGTTTAGTTTGTATGAGTAACACGTTAGTGCACATCTTCAAGAACTAAAGTTATGCATTTTGTGATTCATGGTGGTACTACGCGTTTACACGGTACACTTGGCTTTGGTTTGACCTTCGCTTTATATAGATTCAAATCTTCATGATTATATCAAATTGTTTATCTTTTATAGAAGATGGGATGTAACTATATGGAATGATACAAAGCTTGATTTATATGAGTAAACTGTATGTTGCAGAAATTTGATATCTGTAATTCTAGTGTATCAATTCTTTCTATGTTGCTGTTAACAAAATATTGTTTCCAAGTGCATTCATTTCTACGGTTAAATTTTGATCTGAAGAGAAACTTGTTGATTAAAGTCGGTTTACCCCAACTATTTTCACTTGGTGGGTATACTTACAAGAAAAATTGGATCCCTGAAATCTCCACAAGTGAAATGTAATTATTAATTGCAAAATTAGATAAATGAAATAAATGCAAAACCTCCCCTTGTGCACAAATTCGGTTAATCCCTAGTATTACACTTGATAAGACTGGACTGCATCTGAAGTGTCATTTCTTTCACATAATATTGTGGTCACAAAATGAAGATTAGATTAAACAATTAACAATTTGAACATATATCGTGCATTTGAACCACATTTCTGCAAGCCGTTTGGAGGACATTCATCTGGACTGTCATCCCAACTACAGTAGGTAATAAGCTATCGAATGCATCTTATGCATGTAACATTACTTCTGGTTTGCTAAGGCGGCCTACCTTCGCCGAGTCTTCGGGCCTGAAGGTTCCCGCCCGCCAAGATTTCCCGGGGAATACTCGGACTCTACCGGTTGGAAACCGTTCCCATCCAACTCTACCGGTTGGAACACTGCCGGACTGATCGGACGAAAGTTTCACCAGATTTCGAAAAAGGTTATTTGTAATGGGAGGAGTTCCCGCCATCTTTTCGCGGGCATTTAGGGCTCGTACGCTTTCTGCTCAAAGAGCTGGACATAGCGTCTTCTGTTTCGAAGGGGATGTAGGAAATCGGGTCCAGAATTTGTTGCAACGACACACCAGGTAGATGTGGCTGTTCGATTGAGAGATTCAAGACCTGTATAAGCAAAAGCACCGGAGCATTTCGAATTCCTACCTTGGTTATGGCGAGGAAGAAACGAAGATCGTCTGATCAGTCGGAGGAGAATTTACAGGAGCGTAAGAGCAGCGGAGATCAAAATGACCTCTACCAAGTGAGATTATGTGGCCTACAAACCAAAATCTTTAATTAGCCTGCTGCATAAGCCGTCTAGAATGTGTCAGGGGTATTTTACATTGGTTGGTGTATGATGTTGGAAGATGCTGTAGACGTTCTCCTGCTTGAATCGATCACAAGCCGTCTTCAAATTCATGTGTGTTTGGCTACATCGAGTAGAAGCTCAGTCTTTTTCTTTGAAGGTCATATGTGTTGTAGTTGATCGCATGCCTGTGGGAGCAATAAATTGAACAACTGATGAAGGAGCCTAGTATATTCTAATGGGCAGCTCTGAAGATATGTGTGGAAAAATAGCTCCTAATCGAAGTAGGCTGAGTTGCTGGCTGATGGAATGATAGGTTCTCGGTGTAGAACGCAATGTTACTCAAGAGGAGATACGCAAGGCGTACCATAAGTTGGCCTTGCGTCTTCATCCCGACAAAAATCCGGACGATGAGGTGATTTTTACGAACTTCTCCCCTGATTTGAAGAGAAGATCTGCCCATTTCTATGACGGCTTGCCAATGATAATCATGTTCTGAAGAGTTGAAAGTCCACCAAGTACCATACTTCTGGATTGTCCGGCCGTTGAGTAAGATCTGTTTAAATTGTTGCAGGGTGCGAAAGAGAAGTTTCAATCTCTGCAGTCTGTGATTGCCATTTTGGGTGATCCAGAAAAGAGAAAAGTTTACGACGAGACTGGTTCTGTAGAGGACGTGGTAAGCTGTTCCCCCATCTACATCAGTTGTACACTACTGATATAGTCTTGGTGACCTAGCTGTAAATCTAGCATTTCCCTGAGCCGATCGTCCATCAAACGTGCTCTCGAATGAGAATAAAGACTAAGCTCTCGGATTGATGTGCAGGAACTTTCTGGGGACTCTTTCAAAAATGTTTACCAATACTTCAGAGCCCTCTACAAACAGGCAAGTGCTATTCATATTATGTATTTTCTGCAAATGGTGTCTCCCATAACACGCGACTTACTTCTGTGTAGCATTTTTCTACATGGATCAGTGAAATTGACACGATGTAATTTCGAGTAAATTCGTTCTGCCTCTCAACTAGGTTGCTCTCTGTGAACCTCCAGATTACTGAGGAAGATATAGACTCATATGCTCAAGCATATAGGGGTTCCAAAGATGAGATCGCGGACCTGAAGAATGAATACACCCATCATAAAGGGAACATGGAGTTGTAAGTAGACTAATTTTCTAATACTGAATAACTTTCGAGGTTCGTTTCACACCAATTTTATTGGTATTTTTCCACTTATCTTTATGAAAGCAAACATGTATCCTCTAATGATTGGGATCGTTGATGGCAATCCTTTGGTTTACAGAGTTTTCACGTATTTGATGTGCTCCGATCCGAAGCTGGATTCTCATAGGTTTATGGAGATAATTGATTCCGCAATTTCTGACGGTATGTCCGTACCTGTACCTGAGATCTCATGTGTTGATAGCGAATCTAATACTGGATTGACTTTCTTTCTTCCCTAGTTGGCAATCTGTTCGAATTTATAGACCTGACTGGTAGTATCCCTACTTACGATCGGAAGGTCATTGCAGGTGAGTTGAAGGAGTACAACGTGTATAGGAAATGGGCAGAAGCAACTTCAAAATTACCTGCTCCCTCCGACCCCCTCGCACTTCCTAACAGGTCCTCAAGTTTCCTTGTCAGTGGGTGTATCCGGCTGTCGAATTTCTCAAGTAACGGTCAGTAGAATTAGCTTCTTTTCTGTTCCGTGATGTGGAATATGTTTTTCTGAACTCATGATCAAGTATATGCACTCGTCAATTTCAGGAGGAAGAAGAGCTCAAATGATGTGAGAGACGGTCCACTAGCACTGATCGCGAAGAGGAGCAAGGGACAAATGGATTCATTAGTAAGTGCTTTGGAGGCAAAGTATGGTGGGAAAGGTAAAGGGAAGAAAGGTAGCAAAGTGAAGATAGACGAACCATCAGAAGAGGAGTTTCAAGCAGCCCATGTGCGTGTGATGGGTTACCACAGGGACACCAGCAGTAAGGCACCGGCGCGCGCTCTGGAAACACGAAAGAATAATAAACGCAAGAGTGGAAAGCTCGACTGACTTATCGTTACTTGGACCGCATTTGTCTGCACTGAGATCTCTTCCCTACGTCGGAAGCAGTGTTCAGAGAAGTCCATTAGGTTTAGGATTATATGGGTCCCAAAGGACTCATCTGTATTTACCTTCACACATAGATCCAGGGATTGTCATCCCATTTACAAGTGCCGATGCCCGCATCTGATGAACCTCTCTTTTGAAGATCGTATCGTGCTGCTCCATTTCCTATTAGACTCGGAAGATTTGCCCCCAAACCACCTACCCCGTCATCACGTAAAATTTTCCTTGGAGTCTATTCCCACCGTGCTGATCTTCCAAGTCTTGCACACGACACACGATCATTTTATCATATCATTAGAGACAGTGACAAGACAAACAGGTTCAGTGTACTCAAAGTCCGTACACACCTGTTTCTATGGAGTCTTGTAGACACCGTGCCGTGTTAAACGTGAGTTGTTGTCTAATCTGGGCAACTAACGCAAAGCCAAATTAACAGGGAGCAAATGCGAGGAAGGCAGCGTGTAACAGAACAGTCCGTCCATCATCGCAATCTTCTAAGCATCAGCATAACGAAGTAACGGCATTCCTGCTTTGGAAGTGAATTATACTATGACGTCATTTCTCACACATCGTTCTCTAGACTGATACCCTACCGTTAAATGGTGAGAGGGTCTGCTTGTCCCTTTACCTGGGATTAACTCAGCGAGCTCTCAATTTACTTTAGGGCTCTGAAGACTGCTGGTTCGATGTTGAGGGGAATTGTGACTGAGTTATCTCCATTGGCTTGAGGAAGATCTTGCGCTCCGTTCACGAATGGGCTAGAGGATCTGAAGGCGCACTCTATGACTGAAAAGACGTCATGACAGGAAGGGGCATATGATTCGGGAATTGGCTGTTGAAGAGTAGATATAGTCTGTCCGGACTGTCGAATGGTAGTCTGTGGCTTGCACCAGATGTGTAACAGATCTGTTCTTCATAACGGGCACTGTGAATTGGCACCACTTGCCGTGAAACTACCGAATCGTTTCGCAGTTTTCCTTGCGTCTCGTGCCTGCCATCTCTACGTATGTTCCACCAGCAAAGTTGCCGTGGCCACAGCGTGCGTTCTAAAACGTATGGTACTTAACTTTAAGCGATCTACCCGCCACCCACCTCACCTACACAATCTTTATCAATCTCGTTCCCCAAAGCATACATTCATGCATGAGTCTTCCTCCACTACCTGCGCAGATTTGCATGTCCAGCACCCAAAAGCCGACCCACATATGATGAGTCATTTAATGGGTACAGGTTGAAATGCGGAAAGTCTTCTGTAGTTCGGTGTTAAACCTACTTTCCGTCTTCGCGTGCAGGATCGTCTTTTTCCAAAGCTTTCGAATGAGGTATTCCACCCTGCCCACATCTTTTCCACCAAAAAACCGGTTATTTGTATTCATCAGGAAATAGCCTTTTTTGCTCACACCTGATGCCCAAGACGTACAAAGCGTTCTTGTGGAACCTTTGCGAGTAGTCTGCTTCTTGTTACTTTGAAGGTATTTTTTCCTTCCTTTTCTAAGAATATTATGCTGTCCACTTGTTCCTCCCATCTGACCCATTCATTTTCCCATCCCCAGAAACCGCCTTCACGAACTCTGATCTCCTATTCCCTTATTCGCTCACTGAGAGGGCTCAATTGGAGCTTAGCAACACATCCGAACCAAAACCACCGCGAAAGGGAATGGATCCAGCGTTTTAGGCAACCTGTGGATTGTGAGGTCGATAGCGATTACACTTGGGGGACAAACTCAACGTATATCGTAGACGAGTTCCTCGCAAGACAGTAGGAACGGTTTCGTTTGTTGTATCCGTACCTTGCACACGAGCGAGAGCGCTCGCTCATGGCACTGCTTTGACAAGTGTCGTCTAGCAAGTCTAGCAAGGCTCCAACTCGAAGCTGCAACGCTGCCTCATTCTTGTTGAGTGGAGGAAGCGGGACCACCACCGGGAATGACGAGCAGATGAGTTTGACTGGCTCCAGCGCAGCTCGTGGAGAGATGATGTGGTAGGATAGGATGGGACGGGCTTTCCACGTCATTGCATCGACGATACTCGATCGGAGGTGCTGCGCTTCCAAGCCTGAACCATCGATTGTCCCTAACTGTCGCTTCCTACTCTCACGTGGTGCTGTCTCCAAAAGTAGAGGTCGTGGGCAACAGCCCCTGCTACCTTGGAAATTTGCGCCAGATTTAGAAGGCTCCTCCACAAGTGTAGTAACCTCCGGACTACCAGTCGATTGTGCATCTGCTTGTTTGAACTTTGATTTAAGGGCCCCGAAGTAGAGAAAAAAAGAAGAAGAAGATTCCATTAAGCGATTCAAGGATGAAAGTGAAAGGAATGCTTACTATTTCCTTGATCCAACAAAGATATCTAGACTAACAACGTATATCTCTATACAAATAACATGAGCATTCAACGTGATCACCATTCTTGTTACCTTGTAGATATCATTACCTCAAGCAATGAAAATATCACTCGATGTAAAAATTGTAAACACATGTCATTTCTATTCTTTAACGAACATATCAAATTTTTCTATCCATACTTCATACTTGCATCTCAACACAACCATATAAAACATTTCAAAGCATTGATATTTGACAATCCATTCTTCGATCAAATTAACTTGTATGTTTTCTGAAATATTTCCATGAAAACTACAATATTTTCGAATCAAATCCTTAGTCCACCTACAAATTGTTAAGAACCTCTGAATATAGTAGTGATTGTTGCAATGACTACTTCATATTGTGGGTTGCAAAGCATATCAATGCTCACTCATGCGCCACTTAACACAATGTACATAATTGCATCATTGATAGATATGATGGAACACAAAACTGTCATGTGAGTCACTTTGCATTCAGATGAATGATGCAGATTGATAGACCAATCATAAAGATATATTTACAATTATAAAAAATTTACCAATCCCAGTAAAAAAAGTCAAATGCCAAGATGCAATAGCTACACCTTTGATTTGGCATACGATAGTTCTAAACATAGAGACAATCTATATGAACACAATGCACAACTTTCTTCAACGAACTTATCTTCATTCTTCTTCATTTAAGAGACATCTGCCATGTTATTGATTTTAGCTAAGATATTCTCTGATCAACAAGTCTTGTAGCCAATATCTTTTCGTACTGAGATGGAAGGTTAGATATGGCTACCTTAGATCACCAAGAAGAAGCTGGAGTGTGTATGAGTGAAACACCTTTCCTACAACCTCTCAACTCCGAAATTCCTTCTCCAGCGGCCCGCCATTTGAACAACACGTAGCAGCGAGAAGAGAGCATAGCCGGCGGCTACCGGGCGATTCTGCATGGACCAGAAGGGGACAAGCATCGTTTCCATCTCCACTTTCTGGACGCAGGAGAATGTAACTTAGTTGTAGGTGGGTGGACAAAGCTAAATTAGCCGGCTCTCGCACCGCTGAATCCACGGGTTTGAGTTTGTCAGACGGAAATTTCAAGGGGCGAATGATACAGCTCTCTCGACTGGCTGTAAACAATCGACGAATCAGAGACCGGGCTGCTATTAAGCGGCGGAATATATGGCCTGTATTGCCCCGACCATTCCATATATAATAAATCTGGACCTTGCTAGATGAATAAGTTTAAACCCTTCAATGCTGAAAATTATAAAGGGTGAAATGGTAAATGCAGAAGGTCAGCCTTTCTCTAACCGAGGGCACAAGTCTTCTTAATCACTACCATGCTGAGCAAGCGTGCTTGCAACGATTGCAGGATCGAATTTCCATATCCTGCATGGAACTTATGACAGCCACGAATATTTCCAAACTTTTGTACTCGATTTGAAAAACTAGAGTAATATTAACTGTCTTTTCCCCAGGCCGGACTAAACTACGTCCAGTGAGCCAACCGCGTAAGTCGGCGGTTAAGAGCTCAGCCTCGGGCGGTCCGCTTGTGACCGGAGATTACAAAGAAAGATGGAAAAGCCAACATGCGCAACGGTCGAGATGCATTGAATCGGCAGCGGGCGAGCAATGTCCCGCAGGACAGCGCCCTTCTCATGAGCCCTGAGATGCGCCATCGGAGCAATCCATCGGCTTCTTCGACTGCAGCAGCAGCACGGCCGAGCTGAGCCCGAGCGACGAGGGAGGTTGAGCTCGATAGAGCGCGAGAGCTTGGGTCTGGATCCGTCCGTCCTCTTCTCACGAACGAGAGAGGAATCGCGGTATTGGGCGCAATGGCTGCCTCCATGGTGACGTGCGCGGCGGTGCCTACACTGAGATCTGGGGCTTCCAGAAGCACCAACTCTGTCGTGGAGAGCAGCGCAGCGAAGTTTGCCTCGAAGAGCTCCTTTCTTGGACTGAATGTGAGAGCGCCAACTGTTGTTGCCGCAGCAAGTAGCTCTAGACACTCTGTCGCAGGAAAAGTGAGCGCATCAGCCTCAGAGCTCGTGCAGGCGAAACCCAAGAGCAAAGCGGACGATCTCGTGAGTACATTTGGTTCTGTTTCTATGAACGATTTGGTTCTAGAGAAGGATGACTTTCTTGACGTCTTTTGAATATGCACGATCGGATTGTGGACTTGTGACATTCTGCATATGGTGTAGGTATCACTATTCGAATGTAATTCTGCCAATGGTTTATGAGTTTTATGAATAGTGTGAGTTTTACTTGAGTCTTTGGATGGATATTCGAGAGCCATGGACTTTCAGTAACTGAAGGATTTGTTCGTCATGCTTCGAGCATTCGTACTGACTATCTTGCACCGCTGGAACTCAAGCGATTTTGGCATCTTTGTCACGGATCTGACTGAGTTGACCTCTTGGTTCGTGCAGTTAATTACTAGGGATGAGGTCCTTGATGTTTACGAAGATATGGTTTTGGGCAGGTCCTTTGAGGACATGTGTGCTCAAATGTACTACAGGGGAAAGATGTTTGGGTTTGTTCATCTCTACAATGGACAGGAAGCAGTTTCATCCGGTGTCATCCGGCTCCTGAAGAAAGAGGATTTTGTTACCAGCACGTACAGAGACCACGTGCATGCCCTCAGCAAGGGCGTTCCTGCCCGTCTTGTCATGGCTGAGCTTTTCGGAAAGTCAACTGGATGCTGCCGTGGTCAAGGAGGATCCATGCATATGTTCTCTAAGGAGCACGGTCTTCTGGGAGGTTTTGCTTTCATTGGAGAGGGTATTCCAGTTGCAACAGGTGCTGCATTCACCACAAAGTACAAGAGGGAAGTGTTGAAGGATGACAAAGCAGACGCCGTGTCTGTTGCATTCTTTGGAGATGGAACTTGTAATAACGGCCAATTCTTTGAGTGCTTGAACATGGCAGCTCTCTGGAAGCTCCCCATTGTTTTTGTAGTTGAGAACAATCTGTGGGCTATCGGTATGTCTCACGTGAGAGCCACCTCCGTTCCTGAGATCTGGAAGAAGGGGCCAGCATTTGGAATGCCCGGTGTACACGTTGACGGCATGGACGTCTTGAAGGTTAGGGAAGTTGCCAAAGAGGCCATTGAAAGAGCGAGAAGAGGAGAAGGACCAACTCTCATTGAGTGTGAAACCTACAGGTTCAGAGGACACTCCCTTGCCGACCCCGATGAACTCCGAAACCCTGGTGAGTTCGGATTCTACTCGAAACTAGTACACCTTTCGTGTTGTTGGTCCTTGACTGGGAATGTCCCGTTTACATGGGAGACTATATTGTGCGAATTGGGCCTAGATCATACCTCTTGTCGTTGCTTGTACATTCTTTGAATCTGCTGAAAAGGCATATTTTGTAAAAGGCATCCGATGACTAACACGAGACATAATCGATTTCTGTTTAGGCTGCTGGATGGTAGCGCTTTGAAATTTTTCATCAGTTAGTTTTGTCAAGAACCATGCTAGCCATAAATCTTGTAGTACCCTCTTCCATATCTGAGGCAGCGTAACGTGACTAGAGGGCGCCGTTCGCAGTCTGTTACTTTCTCAGTATGAGCACAGCCGAGTCTGTCTGGAATTTATTTCTATCAGTCTTGTGACATCTGAGGTTCTCCACTCATCGATATCTCCTTCGTCTGTGATGTACAGCTGAGAAGGCTCATTATGCAGCACGGGATCCTATTAGTGCCCTCAAGAAGTACATCTTAGAGAATGATCTTGCTACTGAAGCTGAACTCAAGGCAATCGACAAGAAGATTGATGATGTCGTGGAAGATGCTGTTGAGTTTGCTGATGAGAGTCCATTACCTGTGAGGAGTCAATTGTTGGAGAATGTTTTTGCCGATCCAAGAGGATTTGGTATCGGCCCGGACGGTAAGTACAGATGTGAGGACCCTGGATTCACTGCTGGAACTGCGCAGGTGTGAAGAAATCTGATTCATCGAGGATGTTGCTCTCTTGACCGAAACTACCTGCACATGAAGTCTGGGAGCTTGAAATTTTTCGAAGAGAAGTTGCTCCCCCTATTTGACACCTGAACAACCTTTCTTGGCCGCATTCACAACAGTCCACGCGAGTGGTAAAAGAAGTTTAGATCCCACGAGGAATCTTATCATCGATTCTTATTTTAGTGAACATTCCTACAGGGGAAATTGGGATTTACTCCTCTACTCTTAACATGTCAGCATGGAGGAAGGGTAATATAGTTGATCTTGCCGTTCGATTAGCTCCCAAATTGTGGGTAGATACGCTTGATTCCACATTAAAGCCAGGGAAACAAGTATAGCGGGATCTCTAGTGTATACTTTCGACCACTTGTTACGTCCAGAGGCAATGTTCAGGTGGTGCCCTCAGAATTTATGGTTTGGCTGTGAACACTTCTCTTGTCCTTCTTTATCAGCTGCAGCCGTGTAATTTGTTGTTGTAAGTTCCTCTGATTCAGTGAACAAGAGAAAGAATCTATCAGGAATTTACAATGATCTCTGTCGTTATTGAAGCGCGAAAATATTGATGCGGCGTAAATTCTGTTCTGATCATATCGGCTTCTAATGCTTTGTCTTTCTGGTTCGAAATTTTTGTATCAGTTTTATTAATATTTTGAAAACTTCAACGTCATGTAGTTCTCGGATTTCCAGAGGCTTTAAAGACGAAATGCCCGGAAGTGCTTGACAGAATTTACTGATAGTGTTGACGAATCCCGTGTATAAGTCAAATTCTGCAATGTTTGTGTCCTGGGTGGATATTTCTGGAACTCGGCACGTTTTTCTCACCGCCGAACAGGCCTGGGTCAAAGTTGAACATCAATGATGCATAATGAGGAGGCCATTATTCTGTGTTCTGAAACTGTGACGGTGAAATTGTACAAGTGAAGATACAGGAATCTAATTGAACATGGCTAGCTACCTAGTCCAAACGAGTTGGTGACCTCTATCATGTAATTGTGAGATGACCGAGAAACTCAAAGGTTGAAGGTCTCAAAGTACGAATCCAGGATAAACCAAGAAAAAGATACGTGTGGTCAAAGTGTTTGTGTTTTGAACTTAATCAAATGAATAAAGGTCATACGTAATAGCCACATGCGAGCATGTACAAAGCAATGCAATAAGTTAACTTTAGATAATTTGGGAACTGAAGTTGTCTCAGTTTCAAACCCAAAGAGACGAAGAGTAAGAGGGATAACTCTCGTGCTTTCTTGAAAATAAACTGTTCTTTGTGCGTAAGAGCGTATCACGCATGAAGAATATGTTTCCAGGTTTTCAAGAGAAACAGCATGTGGAGGATGTACGAAGTTTATATTTAGTCCATCATGATATATCCTAAGAGAGGTAGTTGTTCGAATAATACTTCAGCACATAAAGTTGCACAAAACGATAAATATGTTACCTGGCGTAGTCTATAATACAAATTGCTCTCTTAACACATGAAGACTATATAATTCGAACTCATCATATTTCAACAAAGAGTAATCAAATGGTGAGATGGACTTAACAACATTATCCATATATAGAACTAGAGGAATATATTAAGTAGGATCATTTTAGGTCTCACATGAGTCACACTAGTACTACTCACAGTTGCGATTGAGTTAGGACATCCAACACACCCCTGATTATGTATGTATGTATGTATATGATTACAATGGTAGAACGATGGATGTAGGTTTATGAGTCACCACATCATAAAAGCCTCGGACAATCATTACAAGCTATACACTATTGATTATATGAATTTAAACTGTCCAAGACATATAGTGATGGAAAAATACAACGAACCACTACATAGTAAGTTATGGAGATGCATGTGAAAAGAATTCACCTTTTCTAATATAATTTTTTTAAACATTAGAGATGAAGTACGTCAAAATTTATCATTACTTGTATTTTTTACATTATTCAAACTGATTATCCATCGAAACAATCACAAGGATAATATTAAATATTATTGAAGGATGAAACAGTTATAACAAAAAACTAAGACAAATCTAAATAAGAACATAGATATTTAATCCCATTAATTGCACATAGAGTAATACCGAAATATACTCAACATGAGATCAAACATAAGACTTTGACAATTTTAAGCAACAACAAGTAGAGAAAAACGAGACTCTAAGTATCTATCTTCCGTTTAAAACCCATTCATGGTTACACTTAGATACAAAGTTGTGTTTTTCAACTTCCTGCCAATCTTAAAGCAATGAGCAAAATTGATCTATGAATTAGATGATGAAAATTAATTTATTGTTGAACATAGTGATTCGTATAATCAATTTTCAATTGTGGAGTTTAGCCGTAATGAAACAAACTACTAAGCTAGTATTTTGTCTCCAATTCAATGCGCATACAGAGATAGGCCGGAGTTTGGACTACCACTGGATTTAACTTTGGAGTTTGTAACTCAATCCTTCATGCGCAGTCTTCTCTTATACGTAAGTGAACTTAAGGAAACATACAAATTGGTGTTAGATTTACCTATATAAAGTATAAACAAGCTCAAAAATTAAAAATACATGCCGACCAATTAATGAAGCAGCAGTATGGAGATTTAGTTATTAGTTACGGAGAATTATTATGGTAAAGGCTATAAATTCGTTATCCTCGATGATCCTCACCAGCAAGTTGTTTGCAAGTTGGGTCTAAAATTTTAGAATTCACACTGGAATATGAAACATTGAATGTAAGCTAGAGTGTCCAAATAGCGTCCAAAACTATTATCACGTTTTCATGTGATCTAATTTCAAGTGTTTTATCACCAATGATGGTTTAGATGGTATTGGTAAGTGGGCTTTTGCTACTCATGTTTTAGCACAACCTGATTAATTTTGTTCAAAAAAAATCCTGATGAAAGGCTGGTTAGAACTGCATGAGCCATATTGGAAAGACAGATTTGTTGAAGTAGAAGCATCCTTTGTGTATGTTGCCACTGTAGGCAATTCTCACCCACTTTGAGAGTTCAACATGAAATGAAAGAGAGGGAAAGCGATTGGGTGACTTGGAAAACGATTTATAGATTTGTTGTTGTCAATGCTTCATTATACATGGTTGTAATAATGTGAATGCTCTGCTATGGTTGGGGATGACGCTCCAACGGAAACAATGCTAAAATTATAACGTGAAGTAAACATGACCATGTATTTCAACCTTCTATGATTTGACCAACTACGAATCATTTCAACGGTCCTGACAAACGTTTTTCTTTCTCGAATATTCTTAGAACATATCAAAGGATCAATGCACTATTCTGGGTAAGCCCAAAACACTCTGTATGTTGGAACATATGAAAATGGTGCAAACCACGATTGTTGGTGATTTAGTGGTCTATGGGTCCGATGCCAAGAAGTACCTTGCACAATTTGTTGTTTGAGGCCATGTTTGGTTCTTGTGTGATCGAATTAGGAAAGTCATATGAGATTCAGAGATTTGTCTCTCGGGAGTGATCTTGTCGGTGAGGAGCGAAGTTTGTATGTCTTCGTTTTGACAGGTACTGCACTGGGAGAAGAGAAATAGCTATACACTCGTCACGTCGATCAGAATGCGGAATGGTTCAAAGAGTCAGGAAACGAACAGCACCAACCGAGAGAGACACGGATCGTATATGATATAGGTTCGTGCCAACAACACGCTGCTATCTATACTGCGTAGAAACGTCCGAACGGCGGGACCACCAACCCAACAAAAGGTTCAGTCGATGTGAAGCAGTTGTGACAACCAATGGAGAACTGGAAAATCGGTACGGGAGTAGTCCATACTACAAAAAGTGAGATGGTGGTCGAAGTGGCCACGAAGCATGTCTAGTTTCATTCAACATTGTACATACTCGAAGTTCTAGTCTTGAATGTCGAGTATGTACTTCAGACTTCATTACACAGGTTCTAGAATCCCACATCGCAGTTCGCGTCTGAATAAATCTCATAAAGGTAAAGAAACTAATCATTGATCGAGGCTTAAAGCACTCCATCAATATAGCCTCGAGGACCAGGATAAATGTAACTATCAATCACATCGCATACTATCAAATCCCATCACATTCCATGGCCATTTGATCAACTACATTCTTTATCCAATTGAGATGGAGTCGTAGCTTGCATTTACGACCACTCACCGTTCTCAGATGAGACGTCATGACACTTTACGACTGCACGGAGCTGCTGGTGCTGCGGATGACGCGTTGGAGAGGATTGCATTTCCCAATGGCGGTATACTTTAGTGTCCCCAACTCTTACGCCGGACTGGCTTTCCAGCTGCAGACCGTAGACGATCGTCCATCCAGTGCCTGGCGGCCTCGGCGTTGGTGGGGCAGATACACAACTCCAACAGGGGCAGCGTTTGCCTTGCAATGCTGCAGACGCCTGTTCGTGGCGCTAGCGAAATTGCTTTCTGGGCCAACCGGTGACCTGCGATAGGACGATGACGATAAATGCGACGAGCCAGCCGATGCCTCCGCCTCCAAGCGCTTGAAAGTTTTTGAACCAGAGAGGTTTATCGGCCTCGTCGGAGAACGCCAATATCAAAAGGATAATCACTGAAATGATTACCGTCATGAGAACAGCCCTCTGCATCATTGACGTCTGACGCCACCAACACAGACCCCAAAAACTTAGAACCGATCGAGTGAGTCCATGATGTTCCAAACATTACGGCGCAGGTTCTCATGCTTTTGCTCGCATGTATTGAGCGCATGGCAACTTTTGACAGACATGCGACTTCGAGTCCCTTAGTCCCTCACGAACAATACATCATATGCAATCCAAGCAGCTTTTACTTTGTCCGTCACTTTGAATACGACACCGGAGCTCCTTGCAACTCCTGTCAAAAGTGCTCATATGCTCATACTCTAATGTAATGCATCCCACCGACTTCATGGGGTCTTCCCATCCTTTTTGCTATTTTACTTTGCACTATAAAAGTATAATGGAGGCCATCCAACACGATGTTCTTTCAAGATCTACTGGTATGTAAAGCTATAGGCAATTCTCAAAATCCCACCTTAGTCTCTACAGCTCGTAACTCTCCGAAGTCTTTCACTTTCTGATTGATACACTCACAACTTCAAATCTGACGGCCAACACTCCAGAAGAGTACAAACGTCTCTTGGAGCCTAAAAACTTTAAAGGACTGAGGCTTTTCCCTTTCAAACGGCTCGCTCAGCTACTGATCCCATTCCCCTAGAATATTCCTCTGGCTTGGAAGGTGTGGCCTTCAGAGAAACCTTATAAGATTTCAGACAATAGGATCTACAGCACAGATTGTACGTTGCCTTGCCGGTCATGCAGACATGTACGGTAAAAATAGTAAAAAAAGTATGAAAACAATGAATCTTCTCACTCAAACAAAGATCGATCTTCGAATGTGAATTGCGAGAGCAATTGACATTCATTGAGCTTCTGCATTGACAATTTCTTATCCTTCGAACAGATGAGGTGGCAAGGGGTTCCGGCCTTGCTAAAGGATGACTAACACCAATTCACGTCAACAACTCGAGACAGTATATCTAATGTACTCATGTTGTGATCAGGGCGCCGTGAAACCATGGATTTGACAGCTAGAATGACAAAGTGGTACGTTCCGTGGCAACCCCACGAGAGTTCTGTCTTCCATCGGTGTACATTCCTTAAAGCCAGATGACACCTTTCAAAGCAACTTACTCACGAGACCATCCGATGAGACATTCTCTTAGACACCTAAACCCATTCAAATGCCATCCATTTTCTTCTTCACAGAGAACAACTCATAAACCAGACCTAGAATTCAGCTGACCAGCTTCATGGCGATGCAGAATTGTTGCGAGAACTCATACGCTATCAAAGGACGCACGCTGACGAACAGAACGGCAAATCACAATGCTCGATCAATCATAATCTTCACATGAAAAAAAACAGAAATTGCACGATATCCACCCACCTTAGGATCGGAATCAAGCCGGATGACGACATCAGGTTTTCCTGAGTAGCATACCATAGAGAGACCATTTCTGGGGTGCTGGATCAATCGCTGACCCCTGCCATTACTGAGCGAGTATGCATACAAGGCCTTCAAAGAATACTTGTTCATAATGGTCTCCAAATCGAGGCGATTCGCTTCCCATCCTTGCAATTTCTCTTTGAAACTGTGACGTGGTCCAGTGCCACTCACGTAGAGCTCGACCTGCACCTCCGGAAGAGTAGCCATCCCCCAACACTTCACTTCTTTCCTTCCCTCACCTTCGCCTTACAGTCCTTCCCTTCTTCGAAAGAAAGTGACTCCCCTTCCTGTCACCCTGATAACCAACCCTGAGATGGCATTCTTCTTCGCTGAATCATTTCTGCCTCTTCCTCGAGAAATCCAGTACTCACATCACATGCACCTCATGGTCTTGATTTCTCACATCAGTTCATAACTAGTAATCAGCAAATTTTATATTCAAAACCAAAAGGAAGAAAATATTCTGTGATTGTCCAGAGTCAAATTTCCCGAGCAGCATGGATACAATTTGTGATCTAAATTGTGATGTTGTACGATGACGTTGTGTCCGGGTAGGGTTCGTGTTTGTACATTTAGTTGTGCCCTCCCAAAAGTCTTCTGTTCCTGTACGAGAACATCGGTCCATGCTGGCAATATGTTTGTCTGAGCCCCACGTCTCACTTCCATATGAATTAGCTGGATTCACTCGAAAGGACCTCAAAATAAAACCTATGTCCCTCTCTCGAATTGGACACAGCCAAACGGGTGACCAATTTCTACCTTCGCAATTTCTACCTTAGACTAACCTCTGCCACCGCCACACCAAAGACATAGAGTGCCGAGGTACATCCCTGTAGGAGGAACCACTCCGTGTGTGGAGCCATTGAGAGATGGAGGAAATTACCCAAAAAGTTACACAAGGACTCCAGGCGATCGGAAGTTGGCTCTAAGGGACTAGATTTAACTTTAGTAGGCAGAAATGCGTATAAAAACTCATATGTTTGTAAGCCTGCGAGTAAATTGGGGGTTTAAGCCGCCTTAAAAATGATTCTTTGACAGTATTATGGGGTTTTTATATTTTTATCCATATGTTCCCACTTTATTACTTTTCAAGGTATTTGAAGTGTTTCACATTAGGCAGTTGTAATAGGTTCATGTAGAATATATACTTTGTAGAAACCACCTGTAGATTTGTGCTTCTGATTTGTTTTATTCTGTTCTCCCTAATATTCAACCTCAATCCGCTTTATAACAATATATTGAAAGTTCTATCATTTACCATTTAACACCGAGTGGTTATAATTGGTGTGATTCTGGTAACATACTCATTAGCATCTAGAAAGTGCTAATATGTTGGATGGTGTTCATTGCAATGCTAGGTACATTAACATCCCCGTTATGTTCGCACCTGTTTAAGTACGCATATCGGGTAAATACACATAATTTTACTCAAAAAATGAGGATTAATATTTATCTAGTTCAAAATGTCAAAAATGTTCATTTTGACCACAAATTGACCATTTGGTTCACAAGAATTTTGAAGATTCGTGTGTTTGAAAATCAATTTTTGGTTGATGTTTCCTCATATGTCATTAGGAGATGTATTTTGATAGTAATACAAAACACTAGTCAGTAAAGTTCATATTTTCCTCCAATATTGGGCAATAAACACGCAAGTTCGTCAAAAGCTTTGAGTAATACATGATAGGATTTTTTTACTTCAGCTCCCTCTTCAATAAGCAATAACTTTTGCAAACCTCATCGTCTTGTGATTGATTTAGCCAAAATTTATGAACTTAATGCAATACTTTTTGCTTTGGCAATTTTGGAATATGAACATTGGCTCTAAGCATGTTAATCCAAATGTAAAGCAATTTTTTGAACTCAATAAAAAACCAACAAAAAAACTGTAAGATAACTGTAAAACCAACAAGAAATATATTCTCTTTAGGTTCAGATATATAATCAGATCTTTTTGGAAATTTGCTCCTATTTGTCTCACACATTTTTTGAAGCCTTGTACTTGCAAACTATAGACCTTTAATTGGAAGCATTGGTGTTGTTCAAATTACATCAAATCTAAAATTCATTTGGTAGTTTTGTTTTTTTTTTTTGCTAATATTACAATTGATTCCTCTAATTAAAAATGGTGTCATAATAAATCTGAAGACTTGCCTAGGTATTTTTTGTATAATTGTTGTTGAAATTTAAAATAGAGAAAAAAGATCTAAATATTATACATGAATATCTCATAAGTTTACTAATAATCATTGGTAGGTTTGTCTTATGCCTCATCTGAAGATAATAGATACTAGATGACTATTTCCTCACATGAACAAACATGGAATTATTTATATAGGATATATATATATATATATATATATAATATGTAGGGTTCTAATTTGCTTAAATACGCACCTCTTACATATAAATCCAAAATTCTTAGGATTTGCTTATGCAACCAGTAGATTACCGTATATGAAGTACTATGATCATAATCTGATGGCTGATGGCATGATGAGGCGCGGCCATTTGCAAGATGATCCATCAATCATGTGGTGTAGCTTTAAGAAGAAGCTCTAGTCACGTTTGGATTTCTGTCCAAATGGAGCCAAAAAGTTCCATACCTTTCTTAGAGGAGTTAGGGTATGAAGTGCAGTGGTAGTTCATTCAATAGAAACAATAAAGCTCTCGCCCACGAATGTGGTTTAGACCAAGTTGAAAATTTCATCGGATTATTCAAAACAGTTTTCACGCCATCCACAATGACATGAGCTGAAGGATGTATTTAACTATAGTTTTTTAGCGTATAGCAACATTGATGGCTCACAAGAGATAAGAGATAATGCAAGGTTGTTTCCATCTAACTAGCTAGGCAAGCGGACTTGACACAAAGCTGGTGTCTTAACGTGAGGGCAAGAACTAGAAAACACTTGCATGGTTCAGTGTTACAATTGATGGTGGACAAAAGTTGTTTGCCTAAAGTAGTATAAAAAGAATTTTTTGATAAATTTCAAAAGCATTTAGATCAAATGAATGTGAAAAGTCAAAGATTAACATCCATCAAGTAGTCAAAGGAGCTACAAATTAGTGGGAAAACATACAATCTTAAAAATGTGGCAAAGTACAAGAAGAAAGATTTAAACTATACAAGATGAAGTACACAAGTATGGAAAAAAAGATATGAGATAACAAAATATAGTGTACATGGATTTGTTCAAAATGTTGAGGTCAAAATTGTCCATTTACAACGACTAAGATTGAAAAAATCTTTAGTATAAACAATAAATATATCTTGCTTCATTTGCAACTTGTAATTTTGAAGTAAATGTATGATTATGTTGATTGAATTCTAATGTTTGAGTCTTTTGAGTAGAGTTTTCATCACAAAAAGTTGTCAAATATGTTGTATAGATTCTTGAAGCTAATGAAGTTCAAATTTTAAAAAAATTAATTTTGAATAGATTTTAGTTAAACTATATATATTATTCAAAAATTTAACTATGTAAATCATCTATTTCATATCATATTTAATATCATATTGATAGTTTTTGTCATTTTTTTATTAATATTTAAAAAATATGGAAGAAAAATCTTTCATATTTTGAGCTATTTACTTGCATTCTATCAATTATTGTTAAGTTTATTGTTTGACTATGATATGTATAAAATTAATACTTACAACTTTTAAGTAGTTAGTTGATTGATGAAATATAGTAAACTATGATGATGTTAGCTTTTTTCATAATTTTATTTTTTTTATATAGCTTTGAATATCTTTGGATGTCTATCATATTCACAAAATGACGTTGATGGAAGACATTAGTTGCTAGAGCCAATTTCAAGTCTATCAATGAATACTCAAAAAAATGTTATTAATTTTTTTCCAATGTGACAAAATTGTTCACGTCAAGAATGATTTTTCTTTATAATGCAAATGTGTAGATCTTTCCTTGACCAATATTGCTATAAATTTTGATCCAATGATAATGGATTTCTTGATGATGAACTATGATGTTAGAATTAGATCCATATAATTCATCATCTGATTTTAGATAGTGATTGCTTTTATCAAATTTGTTACATTGAAGAATTTTTATTTGTTCTTTCAGTATCAAACAGTTCAATTCTTACACAAATAATCAATTTTGAAGATCTAAAGTTATTGATTTGTTAAAATTTAGATGTTTACTGATTTTGAACGTACATTAGTATATGTTTACATATTAAATTGAAAATATCTTGAATGAATGTTTCTAAAAATAAATGTTTGAGATAAAAATATGTAAAATATTATGTTAAAAATATATAAGCACAATAATATATACATGCTAGATTGCAATATCAAATTTGATGAATTCAATATACTAAATAATGAATTGAAATGACTCATGTTTGACTATCTATAACAAGACATATAAGTAATTTGTATTTGATACACTTTGTGATAGAAATTTGTAATCTAGCGTGAATGAAATTAATTTACAATTTTGTGAATATTTTATCATAACCAAACATCATAGCTTAGACTTTGATGTTGGTATCCACAATTTCAATGTGAGTATGTACATAATATTGTGTAGAAATTTCATTTTAAACACTAATATTTTAAAAAATATACTATGTATCATTTACTGATAAATACTCAAGAATTGAATGAATTATTTGTTATCACGCAAAAATTTGAGATCTTTACAAGTTTTAAAAGTTATAAATTTCAACTTGAGACTAAGACTATACACAAATTAAGACATTTATGTACGGATAATGGCAAAAGATATACTTCATAGGAGATTCAAAATTTAAAGATTAGTATATATGTTATATCCTGCAATCATACGCTATTCTTTAGAGTTTAAATTAAACAATTTTGAAAAATGTGCACAACATGTTAAACTAGTATGTTTTATGATGTGAATTCTGAGCTAAAGCAGTTAATTGTTGAAAGTTTAAGCCAAAAAATTCACAAACTAGTATCTTTATATGAGAATCAATATATTAACAAATTTTGAATTCAGTCACAAAAATTGTTTGATTGAATCTGTCTGATTGTACGGCTAATCTTCTTGAATTTATGCAAAAAAAGTTGTATCTTACATTCAAAAAATGTTAATCTTTTAAGAATAGTAGTATGAATATTTGTAGGCTATGATATTCATTAGTTTTTTATCAATATGAATTTTTTAATAAGATTGATCATTCAAAAGTAAAAATTAAGTTATTTTTAGAATTTTGAATGAAGCTATATCATTAAAAAAAGAAAAAAATTTGATCAAGCTCTCAGTGCAAACATAGATAATTTTTTATTCATGGATGTTGTTGATTGAAAAATTGATCATTATGAAATTAAGTATGTGACACAAGAAGAAGTTTTGATTTAGATGAAGCAAATACTTGAAGATCAAGAATTGTAATAAGAAGTTATTATTGGTGAGTCTCAAACTACTACATTAGACAATAAAGTTAAACTAATAATCATTACAATTTAATTGATATAGTTTCTATGAAATATGAATTATGGTCTCACTCATCTATTCTTGAAGATCATAAAATTGATAGTGAAAAAATTGATGACACTACATCGATATTGGATGATGCATTGAAAAGCTATGAAATATAGCAAAGAAATTAAAAATTAAGGTAGTTTGTTTGATGACTTATTGAATATCATCAAATTTTTGTTATGCTACGTTGATGTGAACTATGGACAAAATCTAGAAAGTAAAAATTCCATAACTAGGTATGTGTTTACACTTGTTAATTGATGCATTAGTTGAAGATCTATTTTGTAGAAATGCATAGCTCATTTGACAATGAAGCA